TGGCTCGAGCAATATGGGTAACCATGCCCCATGTAAAGACATTAAACTTTGATTACTATTACTATTACTATTGCATCAGTAACTTGAAACTAAAATGAACTCATGTCCACTGCAGTTCTTTAAATCCCCACATGTTCTGATCAGGTCTATAACTTACTTGCAGCCTCTACAGAGTTGCATTTCTTGCTCTCTTCTTTCAATGCACAAAGACCACGCTTCAAAGTAGACCTGTTATTGCCAAAAAATTATAAAACATTTAAACCTTTGACGCCAGTGGCAGCGACTGGCATCTAACTTCTCCCTAAAATATCACCCCTGAATCATGCATTTAGGTCACAAAAATAAAGAAAATAATCGCCATTTAAAGCTCTTGATTGTTAAACAAATTCTCTTTGTCAGCACCTTAGAAAATGTATGGAGAGCAGTAGGGAGATTATGCATACAAACACATACGATTCTGTTGCAAATTTGCGTGCAGGGCGCACAGCACAGACACCTGTGCCACATTACAATTTCTTTGATTTTTCCTTAGTTTTAACGTTACGAAGCTGATTTACTGTTAAACCGCATGAACCAAAAGCCTAGAGAGAGCAAACTAAGGCTGGAATGAATCCATGGATTATAACTAAAATATTTGTAGAGGTAAACGTGCACCCATTAATTAGGAATAGTGATGCAAAAGGTAAAAATATTGCGCTGTCAGCAAGCAAGTATCTATCTTACCATTTGCACTGTCGTGATAACTTATTCCATTGCGGCGTAAGAAGGTGACGGTTAGCCCTCCACATTCTTTAATTTTCATATATTTTAATTCGCAGGAGGTCTCATACCATCTCCATCTAATTTATATGTTATAATTTCCGCACAACGCTGACGACTTGGTATCCAGGCCTGATGAGTAAGAAAATCATTATGTCTGAGCCCACAGTTGCCTATCCGGACAGCAGTACGTCGTTTTAGACAACGGACGCTGTGGAGGCGTTGAGTTGGTGAAAAGTGTCAAACAAAATGAGCTAGTTTTTGTTCATCTTCGCTTAATTCTGGGGACGATCAATTTAGAGAATACTTCCACTCCTCTCGAGGAAGCATGGCTTACCGGGATGGTGTGGTAAGACTTCTAAAATAACCTGAACCTTGCTATGAGGGATCAGCGTCCTTCCATATCCTCAGCATGGCTTTTTGACTCCTCTTGGTTTGTTTATTTTCACTACATCCGTAGCAAAAAAAGAAAGTGTTCAGGAGCTGATCTTGTTGATCTATGGCCGTTTTAAATAGAATTAAATTGAAAATGTTTTTCAGCCCGTTGTACAACATTCCGGAAGCGTAGAGGAGAATTTTTATCGTACTGTATATAGCTAGTCTGACATCACAAACGCGTGGATTTAAGTTTGTAATTGCTTTCATGATTTCCCCGTGATCTGTCGACAATCTTAGCCGTCTACATGGGTTCGACAACAAGACTAGTTATTTTTATCAACTTAGATATACATACTTTTACGTGAGCGGGTAAAGTTGCATGTGTATTTATATAATTTATGTTTGCTTTAAAATGAATTTAAGATCGAATTGATCTCTTTTTTTCCTTCGGTCAAATGACATTACCATAATCTTAAAACAAAGAATACAACTCAAATGATTTTATAATCATTTTGACTTGAGTTTATTTTAAATTACAAAATATTATGATAAAAAATGTAAGCTTAATCGGCTATTTCTTAGCTTTTAAGTTTAAGTCATTTGCCTCGCATCACAAAATAAGGTTGCCAAGGTATGGAGCAAAATTATATTGCAAACTGTTCAGTACATCAGATCAGACTGAAAATGAATGGATTTCTGACTGTTTTCAGCCTTCATAGTTCACTTCATAAAGTAGTTGATGGCAATATTTGGGAAATGTTTAATTTGTCTGCTTGGTAATGCCATGATGTTACCCCAAACTTAAATGCAAGCTGGGAATAAGTTTTTTTTAGGAGAAAATTTTGTACAGCGTCTCTTTTTTTCTATTTCTCTCTTCTTTAATGTAGACAACTCCTCCATATATGTCAGGGTACAATTACAGAGGCTATGGAGTTGACTCACCGCACAGAGCAAGCATCCGCTCCGTAACATCATTTCCAGGGGCTAGTGGATCAGTTTCTTCCTTCCATGACAATCTTAAACCATCACCCAGAGGAACTGTTCCTCAGACTAATAGCAGAGGTAATACACTGTTCAGTTGTTTCAAACACTCTACCATATTTACTTGGGCTGTATTTTGTAGACCTCAAGCATCCCTAGCCCTAGAGAGAACACAACCTGTAAACAAGCCTAACAAATATGTTCAAGGTTGCCGAAAGGCAATTAAGTTGTCTAGGGCTTGAAAATCCAGCTGCAACATGGTTGGCATGTTCTTCATAAGCCTGCATTTGTGAGATTTGCTGCTGACTTTAAGAGCCCTTAGCTATGTTAAATTGTTATTAACAATTATTTATGCTTGTTTCAAATAGCTGTTGTGTCAGCTCTGAAGGGACTGCAAGAAAAGATTCGTAAACTTGAGTTGGAGAGAGCAGATGCAGAAGATAATCTGAAGAAATTGGCTGCCGAATCAAGACATTACAAGGATGTGCTGCAAAAAGAACTCACTGTCCGTGAATCTTCACAAGGGGTTATTTCAAAGCAAAATAAACGTAGGTTGAAGCTTAATTTATGTACCATTGAAAGTCTACATCCACGCTTTCAACTCTGCAACAAAAGGACAAAATAAACTAGAAATGGCATGGAAAACATATAGACTGTAGTAACAATGAATGTAAAGTACTGTTAGTTGAAAAGTTGATTGTCTGAAGCAAATGTACTGGACAGATTTACCCCATGAATTTGAAAAGGCCTTGATTAATTTGTTTTCAAGAAAAATGAAAACCTCAATGTCAGTACTTTAATTATATCATGTATGTGTTTCTTGCTACTTGTTTTAGAGTTAGAAGATGACCTTCAAGGTGCAGAAGCTCGATGTAATTTATTGGAGAAACAGTTGGACTATATGCGTAAGATGGTCCAAACTGCTGAGACAGACCGAGATCATGCTTTGCAAAGGTCGGCAATGGTTGCTAAACAGGCTGCCCAGCAAACTTCTGATGATATGCGAGGACAGTTGGAGAAACTAGCTGGGCTTGAAAGAGAGCACATGAAATTAACTGCATCACATTCAATAGCTGAGGTGAGGTTTTTGAAGCCTGTGTGGAGGCATCTGCCATATCTTTTGCTCAGGAGATGAATGTATGTGCAACTTTTTGGAGAAATTTGTTATTTTCTGGTGGGTTTTCTTTGTTTTAACTTTCTTTAGAGACTGACATGTCTGTAAAATTTGCTCTTGCCCAAATTGCTCTGTTTTTTTTCTTGTAAGAATGTGACTTTCTGTAAGGTCAAAAGGGGCAACCAGAGTAGTCAAAATGGGCTTCACTGAGCAAGCCACGTGATAAAAAAAATGTTGTGACTTTATATACTAGAAGTGTTTATAGTGTTGACATCCATTTCCCTTTCATTACATTTCTAAACGCAGCTCACAAAGTTTTTAAGTTTCAAAAATTATTGTGCATTGAAATTTTTCTTTTTCATCGCCGTAGAAGTCTGACCCATGATTTAATTTGACTTTGCAGGGTAAAATTAGAGAATTGGAGGAACAACTTAGGGAAGAGGTTCATCAAAGAAAACTTGTGGAGAATAAAACTGCCGAGGTTGGTAGTAATTATCATTATAACATAGACTACAAGCAGAACCTCCTTTACGGCGAAGTCTATCGGTAAAGTAAAAAAAAAAGTTAAGGTTAGCGCCCCGCGTGGGAATCCGGGAGAGAAGCGCACGAAAAGTAGGCGCCTCACTCCCAGAGTTCTGTGAGGCGCACTAGCATAAACTTTTTTCCCTCGCGCGACAGACTTCGCCTGAAAGGAAGGACTGTTTGTAGTCAAATTATCACAATGTATTGCGATAGTAATTATTTCTAGAGCATTCAACATGCTAAAATTAAACAGATGTTGGAGGATTTATAACCTAATTGTTTGACGTGAAATCAGATCAGCGCTCCAAGCTGCAACCATTTTGGTCGCCGTAACGAAATGATTAAACGATTGGAGATTAAATTTAAAGAGAGTGTCGCCAATTTAGCGATCTGTGTACGCCTGGGAATTAGGAACATGTTGCGTAGTTCTTACCCAGGTGTTTCAGTAAATTTTTTCCATAAGCGGCTGACCATAAAGAAATAAGCAGCTGTGCCGTAAGGTGCACATGAGAGCCCGCTGAACAGACTGCGGTAATAGATCTTACAGGCGGCGGTGAGCGGCTTTTTTTTGAAACCCCTGTTTTACCTAGTTTTTTAGTTCAAAGCGAATTCAGGTAATCTTACTGCACAAAAGGATTATGACTCTTTTTCCCGTTATTTTTCGGCGACCAGGAATTTTAATTTTTCTAAGCGACCATTTTATGATTTTATGTCGCGAAATAGCGACTTTGAAAAAGAGCGAGCTCAGAACCTTTTTTAATTGACGGTGACCTTGTTTCTCTTCCAGCTGGAATCAGTCGCAGAAACTAATAGAATCCTCATGAACATGGCCTCGCCACAGCGAACAAAGCCAAAGAAAAAGAAGCGAAAGGTAATTTTTACTTGCGTTGATTGTGTTGGTTTAAAAAATTCTCCTTGATTTTAGCTTTTATTTTTTTTCTACACTTGAAGTAGACGAGTGTTGTTGTTTTCTTTCCAGCCTCCAAGACCTAAACCAAGAAAACCAAATCAGCCTGTTAAACCTTCGGATCATTACCATTTAAATTTAGGAAGTATTCCATTTGTCGTCGGCCAGGTATGTAACAATGTTGAATAGCCCATTTCCGAATTACCCTTGGCCTCTTTTTCAAAACGAGGCTCGGTGCTCAACCATTCTTGTGAAAATGAGTTTAATTTGTATGTGAATGAAAACTTACAATCATATGAAAGGATGAGCACCAGGACGCGTTTTGAAAATGAGGCCAAGGGTAATTCGGAAATGGGCTATTCCTTTAAAACCCAAATTGGTTGGACGTCGTAAAATCGGGAGCAAAGTAATCAGGACGGCCAATCAGATCAGAGATCAGCAAGGAACCAATGAGAACTCAAAACTCATGGCTCGAGCGCGGGAAAATGCGAGTTACCAGGTTACCCTTGGTTCGAGCTCTTTATTTAATTGGTCGAGAGAAATTTTGATATTACGCTTTTTTGGTGTAATGTACTGATCATTTTATCCAATTGTGTTGGGAATTCGAAGAAGTCTATTCTCGTAAAAATTACTTCTTTGGTTGGAGAGAATGATAGTTCAGGGGGATTGACATTTCTTTCTCTCTTATCTCCTTTTGTTTATGGTTTTTTTTTCTTTTTATAGTCAACAACAAAATCACACTCTCTTGGAGCCAATGTACAGACCGTGCTGTCTTTAATGAAGGCCCATAACCCAGCGCTGTGTCACGCTGCTGCACGACGGGCTCCGAAACGACACCCGCAAAGTGCGGGCTCAGCAAGTGCCAGTGATTCAGATAACGCTTTCGACGAGCTTCTCCTTGGACTACAGGATGAGTTCGGACATATGACTTTGTGCGTACTATTTATAATTCTCACACAAGTTAGTCCTTTATGTAAGGCATTAAAATCAAGGTATGAGACGTGTTCTAGTCGTTGGGGGTTAGTACAGCCTCGTCCTCAGGACTATGTTCACGGTGTTAGATGATCAAAATGGTCAATCCGAACCAAGAGAAAGTTCAATAGCTAATATACCCAATCGAAATATGGCGTCCAATTTGAATTACCGTAGTTCTGGACTTACTAGCCTCGTCTTCACGTGGAAACACATTATCATTACATGTGTGAGAGGCAAGCGAGTTCAGAACAATGACAATTCAAAGAGTCCATTTTACAGTTGTGTGCTTGGTTGCCAAGCCTTTGAATGGGAGTGAGGCTAGAGATGACCTTGTTATGATACAAACCTTGCTGCCTTTCAAATGTAAATCACTTTGTTATCATGCTAACTAGATAAAGGTCTCTATCACAACAAGGTCATCTTTAGCCTCACTCTGAATCAAAGGCTTGGCAACTAAGCACACAACTGTAAAATGGCCTATTGGACGCCATATTTCGATTCGGTGTATGAGAGCTCAAATTGAGAATACGTGAATGGAGGTGAAAGAGTTGCGAATGTTTTCGTCTATTTAAACTGTACCGCAAAAGTAAAAATAATTTTGAGTTTTTAATATTTTTTTTAAATTTGATTAGGCAGGGAACGTTAAAGAACGTACATCACGAGATTACTGTGATGTGGTCTGGCCTGGTTACTGGGAATTGGGGGGAGGGGGCATCTGTAAACAATTAGCCTTTGTTGATTGTAAACTACTACTGGCAGTCTGTTAAAGTCCCCCGCAGAGTATTGTAAAGCGCATTTGATCATATCCACACGTTAATTTGTGCTATATAAATGTCAATTCATTCATCATTAAAGCAGCAACAAGGGAAAGATAAGGTTTTTTAATTCGAAAGTTTCCTTACAGTCTGTGCTTGATTAAGGGTTGTTCTGAAACGCTGAAAATTGGTGAGAAAAGTTTACATGTTATAAGCGAAAGTGACTTGAAAAAAAAAGGCTAAACAGAGTCAAGTTATCACATTTTTATGTGCTGTATCATTTGCAGTGAGCATCGAGAACTTTCTCGTCAAATACAAGAATCCGACGATCCAAGAATACAAGAAGATCTCAGAAGAGAGCTTGAAAACTTAGAAGCACGAATGGAGGCGAAAGGAGAACAAATAGCAATGGTCCGACAACAGCAAGATAAAGCGAAACGACAGCGCAAGAAGCAGAAGACAAAAGCAGCGGCAAAGCCCAAGAGCGCAAGCGCTGTCCTGCCGGCGAGTGGTGGAGAAGTAGAAGTAGTAACGACTGTTAAAACAAAACCTGTTCGATCTGGAGGGACAGTTAAAGATACCTTATCAGTTTATAAAGGGATGAAGACTCTTCAAACTTCGCTTGGAAAGAATCAGTACCATTGGGATTAGCTAAGCGAATGTTTTTTGTCCGAAGGGTGGAGAGAAAGGGTTGTTGAGCTGCGATTAGATATACTTGTGAATGGGGGAGAGGGGAGGGTGATAAAAGACAGATAAGGAGTCTTAAAAATGTTCAGACATAGTACGTGTATAACTTGCAAGGAGCGAAAAACTTAAAAAAAAAGGGACAGTGTGACAATCAGGTCATTGATTTGTTTTTATGAGGTTCTTTAGTGAATTGGTCATGAAATTCTGGGAGAACTGACATTTTAATATCTGGACTCAAAATTATAATGCTTTATTGTACCTCGACTGAACACTGAACAACCATCTGGAGGCTGGCAGTTATTTATATAGTGTATGGTTTTTCCTTCGTAAGAAGATTTGTAATTATGTACATGCAACAAACTCATTATGGACTTTTCAATAAAAGTAGGAGCTTATACAGTTAGTACTTTGTCGGCAATAGTGTACGACCCTTGTTTCCGCAAATTTTCCAAAGCTTACGGCAGGTTAAACTGTTCCAGCAAGACAGTACTACTTGTTTGTGAAGACGAGCGAAAGAAGAAACGAGAGGGGCCTAAGGTGAGCGGGGAAAAAGGGTCTCTCTCGTCTCGCCCGCATGCGTGTCGTTTAGCTATTCCTTCCTGTTACACATTTACGAACGCGATTGATGTTTATATTGTTGCACCAACGTAAATTTACACCCAAACTGGATGGCATACACAGCTGATTTTAATCGTGGTATCCGTAACGATGGTAACACCCAGCAATTAAGGTGTATTACTGGCTGGTTCCTCTTGAGTGTGAAGCCGGGGCTATTATTAAAGTTAGATGTGTTGGAGCGTAACCTGTTTCTCAGACAGGCCAGAGCCGCTCGCTCAACCTCATTCTTGTCCTTTTTGGGCGAGAAGGGTGTAAATGTGTTCGCAATTGGCGCGCAGATACGATAAGGCAATGAGAGTTCACACTTTCAATAAACCAAAACAAACTTCTTTGTCTACCCAACTGAATTGTTATTCAAATATTTGCGGCCTTCAGAAGTTCTGTTCAAACATATTCAAGAGTTCTTAAGCCCTTTACAAAGGAACTCATATTTTCAACACAATTCGGTGTAAATCCCAAAATATTTTTGCATTCGATGGACAATCGTGCGACACGACTACCGGCGATCGATAACATTCGAGTAACATGCAAACATAGCGAGAAGAAAAGAGAGAATTTGAAAGTGTGAAGACACAATTTGAAAAACAATGTTTAGAGATTCGAAAGCCGTTTGTTTAAGTTTACTAACTTTGTTAATAGTTTGATTTTTTTGGAATGGAGTTATGTTTTTTTTTTTTTGCTGAATGTCAGTTTTAATGACTGACTGAATATGTTGGAGTGTGCAGCAAGTGCCGTCCAAAAATGGTATCCAGTGATTCCAGTGGGTAAGTTCACAGATGAACCTTTATTTAAGTGTCATAAAAATTCTAGTACAGGACAGTACTAATTGGGGACACTAACAAAAACAAGCTAGTTAAAATAAAGTAAAATTGTCCTAATTAAGACGTAGAATGTAAAATTTCTAAAAAATCATATAAATTTACATATCATATTAGGTATTTCATAGCTAGCAAGAGGCACAACTACTGTTGAATACGTTTATTTCGTCATGTGTGGCTACTTAAGTTTGACATGCTTCATCGTGCTCAGTGCACAGTTCTATCGTGAACACGCACTCAACCGATCTCAGAAGTCAATTTACCCGTTACTTTCGTTAAATCATTATACGCCTTTACAGACTTCAGAAATTTACAAACTGTGGTCGTTTCCTTCGGCCATCATACGTGAAGTATTACGCCGGTAAAGCGAGTATCAATTGCTGGTGCTAATGGCTGGTAAAGAGCGCACGAAAACAGCATTAATCCAAATTATGGCTCGTTATTTAGAAATGTTTTCTAAACTGAAAATCCTAATCTGAAATCACGGCCTCGGCTAGCATCCTGTCAAACAAGGATCGAAGGAATTTCATGATCATGTCACTCAGATAGAATCAGGTTAACCTTTTTCAGGCGTTTGTTTAGTTAACGGTGTGCAACAAAAGGAGGAAAGAGGTTTGGGACGCGACCCGCGTACAAATGCTCCTTCTTCGCTCTGCTCTGCGCTTCCTGGATCAGCTTGGAAACAGGTGATTGAGACTCTCACAAGCCAGACGGTCCGTTATTTGAACGAAACGCTAACACCATAAGGACCATAAGTCAACTCGCCGACACCTTCGGTCAACTTGCCGACATCACTGGTCAACACGCCGACAACTTCGCCAAAATATTGCACCTATCATGCGCCAAACAGTGAGTTAAGATGTAAAGAAATTGATACTGACACTAAACCGAAGTGACCGAGGATATTAGCGAATGGATCAATCATAATACTTGTACGACTTCGCTAGATTTATTCCAATATAGCCAATCATTTGAGCAATAAACAACTTCATATGTGAGTTTACTAGTTTAATAAGCTATAAATGATGTTCGGAGAACAGAAGAAAATTTACTTCAAGGGATAATAGAGAAAAGAAGAGTTACCGAAGGAAGAAGTTGGACGGGTCAAAATCTGAGTATGTGGGGGCTGGCGTTCTACCAGACAGGTGACAGAAGGACAATTTTTTCACGTTTGTTTATCAGTAGCTCAGTTCTACTCATTGAATTTTCTGTGTGGAGGACTGGGTCAGGTCGTAGGAACAGTCTCTGAGGTCTATAAGATCTCTTCGGCACTACTTCGACAACTTCTGCTCTACTCATGGCTACTAGCTTGTGGCAGTGTTTGGAGAAAAAAAAATCACCCCAAAAGAATTAACCAATTACTGTGTTTCTGGCAAAAAGGAAAAATTAATAAAAAAGGAAAGAATGAATGAAATAAGGAGATTAAAGAGACGACCACCACTAAAGAAATAAATAGAGGCAAAAGGATCGAAGATTATGGGATGACCGGTTCATCAACGTAATCAACTGCCAGCCACGAAGCCGACGTGACCGTCGAGTATTGACTTACGACACATCTTTCGCAAACAAGAAACGGAAATGAAATCATCAAAAGTAGACGAAGCGTAACCTTCTGTTTGTTTCGGCCTGTTTCACCCAATCACTTCCATTCCATATAACAGAATGTTTATTATCTGTTACTACAGATCGCTAACCACAGTAAATGAACCTGCTTGATTATGGCTAACAGATACGTTGGTAATTTCCCAGTAGATTAAGTCAGGTGACTACTTTTAAGAAACGCTTCAGGGGACAGGCACTCAAGTGTTATTTTCTGAGTGTATTTACTGACGTACAGTCATGCGAAATTTTCGCAATTTCAAAGACAATACGAGAGGGTTATTGCAATCAAGTGCTTGAGCAATTTTCAATGCTTTTAGTTTTGGTGAAAGTTTCCCCAGAGATTTGAAATCTCAACGCTCTGAAACTGTGCACGTAAAACTACAAATTAATTAAGAAGAAAGAAGAAGTCATTTCGCAAAAATGAACAGTATTGAAAGAAGTAATAATTCCTGCACCCTCCCCTCGCGTGGTGACGAAACTTAGGGATCCGTGCGTGACGTCACGCATTACCGTTCAAGCGGCTAAACCGCTAAAGAGATTCAATTCCCATAAATTTTTAATGACAGAAAAAGACGGAAGAATTTCTTTTGTAGTCAGCACAACATAGTGGCGAATAAGCTTTTCGGCTACTTAGGGAATGATCTCTCGTCTGAGGAGTATATTGATATCGAGAAGTTTGTTTACAAGTCTATTCAAGTGATTTGTTTTCGTTAAGGATTGTGTGGTTGGTCGAAGACATCGTCGATAGTGCATTGTTTGATCGCTTTGTTTGAAGCGGTTTATTTGAAAGCTGTACGCCATTGAATTCTATTTTGATCGGGAAACTGTCTATTCTTCTCTTCCAAACTGTATCAAAGGTATAAAAGAGGGGAGACTTCGCTTATTCCGACGGTAAGTGGTTTCATTTGTAAGATTTTAAGCTATCAGTGATACTGGGATATCGCGTTTCGTATCATTTCGATTTTTGCGGCATGACCATGCTGTTGATCAGCGTCTCTTTACTTTGGCTCCATTTTTTCCAGAACCTTCTTCGGATAATTTAGGCGTTCATATTTAGCTCGTCTTTTCTCCATTTAATCTGTTCTTTTACACTCTATCGAAACAGTTTCACTCTTTCTTCTTTAAACGATCTGTCATAGCAGCCAATGGTGATGTTTGTGGTTACCATGCCGAAAAAAGCACTTAAATGTCGACAAGTCATGATTTTTTGGGTGATTTGCCAAATTCTTCCAAAGTGTGAAATCTTTAATAACTCCCAAAAAACCATTTTCCTTGAAATGAAATTTTTAGCTTTAAAATCCGCTTTGAAGGGAAACAGCTTATCAAATCGAATGGTGGCCTAAAAGCTTTCTTTTCCTGCTGACAAAAATTGAATAGCCAATCTTGCTTCCTGTGGTTTCAACTTCGATAAAAAACCAACAACCATGACATTTCTAGGCTTCGCTTCCCATAATTTACGTTAAGCTGGGCATGGAATCGCTTTAAATTTCCTTCGACTTATTTGTTTTTAAGAAACATTTTGAATGTACTAACTTTCAACAGTTTGAAAGAGCTTACGTGTACCTGCTATTTCATTTCCGCGTTCAGCTAGACAAAGTTTTATATATTAAATTTCTTTCTCTCTTGTAATCCCATTGTTAAGCCATATGTGGTTATGTCCATAAACAGATTATCTTTCGACGGTTCTTGCTAGTAAGTTTTCAATTTATGTTTGTTGGGCTTTGAAGTGTACGTGTCAAATCGAATTGGTGAAATAATGAAGCTTGCTGTCAAATCAATAGTTCATCAACTAATTGAATCCAGTAGCGACTGCTAATTAATGCATAAAGTAGAGGTTTAATCGCTATTCACCATTAACAGGTATCAGCAGGCAAAAACATATCCTGCTGTGTTTCTTGGTTTTGTATGAATACGAACAATCTAAAAATAGTTAGAAAAAACGAAATGTGGGAAGTATTTAAAGGGAACTTTAACAAGGCAGATGAAATATTTGTGGGAGGTAATTAAAGTGAACTTTGTCAAGGCAGTCAAAATATTTTAGAATATAATTAGGTGAAAAGTGAACAGAAAATATGGCAACCAAAATGTTTATTTACTGTGATCCTGCTGAAAACAAACAAACAAAAAAAAAAACAATTTCAAAGAAATTACTTGTCCTAACTTTTGGAAACTTTACTACAGAGCTCTGTTTGGGTAAGATTTTAAGTTATATTTTTGTGCAGACAAAGGATGTGTCCTATAGCTAGCCTGTAAGCAAGAAGTAACACGATGAATGTGGGGAAGTGAGCAGGAAAGAGAGAGAAATTGTTATCATATTATTCTTTCCCATTCCCACCTGCCACAGGAGCTTGAAACCCTCCTCTTTACTGCTTTTTGTAATCCAAACCTCCCTGTAGCAGTTAATTAGCTTTGCTCATGGGTAGTAATAATGAAAAGGGTGCACTTCAACTGTTGTGTAGGCAAAACAATTGAAGGTGTAGCAGAGGAAATTTAGTCCAAGGGTTTTTTTTTAAATCTGCATTGAAAAGAACTCTGACTTTATTAAAAATAATTATAATAATGTTTTCCCTTTAGATCTAATGTCTACCTCACCATACAGTCCTACAGAGAGTAGTTACTGGTCATCACCAAGATTAAAAATACCCATTAAAGCTGTTAACCTTGACTTCAATCACAATGTTGGAGTTTTGCAAGTAGCAGCATCTGGCAAATCTCTGAGTGAACCATCTTCTCCTCAGCTTTGGCACAAAGGTACTCAACATTTCTTCTCATGTATAGGATACTGAGAGAGGGCATGAATATCTTTAAATACAGAATAATGCATATTATTACATGACTCGGGCTGTCAGAGGGCCAATAACTAAAATCAACCAATCAAAATGCTCTATTGCCGGTCAATATTCTCTCAGTATTGGACCGGGCACAGTCCCGAATGGTCCCAAATGATACCGCACTTGTGTCCCTTTGGATTTCAGGCGTGTAATAAATCTCTTATTAACCAAGCTTGCTCGGGACCGTACTGGAAGAATATCGGCCCTTGGTCTTTTTTGTATGGACCTTGCTGCGCTCGGTCCGTACTGTCAAGACCTCAGGCCGATATTCTCCCAGTACGGCCCTCGCGCTTGGTTAATAAGATATATTTAATTGTAAAAACAGTATGTATGGCATTATTATAAATTGTTTTTTTATATAGACATATATGATTGCAGAGATATGGTACATTTGAAATAGCTAGAAATATGTGTAACATAACATTGTAAGAATATTTGCAAGAAAAACTTCTGGTCATACATTGAACATTTGGGTTTCATAGGGTGCATGGAATAAAATTTTGTGAGAAACTGCTTAACTCTTCACATTCTGACATCAGCATGCATATTCTCCATACTGTTGTCTATACATTTCCCAAGGTGCTGACAAGGAGAATTTGTTTGATAAAAAATAATTTCTGTAGTTGTGATTATTCTCTTTATTCTCATGACCTTAATGTTTGATTCAATGGTGATATTGTAAGGAGAAATTAGAGGCTGGTCACTCTTAGAGGTCAACCAGTGACAGTAAAATAAACATAATAAACATATTTTAAGTATGATCTTGAGCACATAGACAAACAAAATGTTTCTAGATAAGGTAACTATGGTTAACTTCAACTATCTATGTTTAAAATCTTATTTAGGGGAAAATAAATCTTTAGAATTGTTTTGGTTTGTTTCCAGTTTCAAACACAGATCATGTTGAAGTTCATAGACATCCAGAAAAAAACCAAGCAGCTCATAGTGGCACATTAAAGACAAGACAAAAACATGTGACAAGAAAATATAGTGATAATACTGAGCTAGCAGAACTATTAGCTGAACACCAAGAGAGGCAGTTAAGGAGCATGCAGGGTCTAAACACTGGGATACAACAGCCTTGGGGATCAAGCTTGAGACTTAATGAACTTCACATGCAAACAAATGCAAGTGACAATGGACTTACTGGCTTCACAGGACAAATGCCTTTAAATAATGGAACNACCGCCTCCCGGTTAGCTCAATTGGTAGAGCGCCGGACTGTTGTGCGGGAGGTCGTGAGTTCAAATCCGGCCGGACCAACACTCAGGGTCTTTAATTAACTGAGAAGAAAGTGCTGCCTTTGTAATAATATCTGCAAATGGTTAGACTTTCTAGTCTTCTCGGATAGGGACGATAAATGGAGGTCCCGTCTCCTGCAGGGTTGGGGTAGGAGACGTTAATTTCCCACACACGAGATTACTGTGTAATGGATTTCCTCCCCGGGGTGGGATGGGTGGGTAAAAAAAGGGGTTGGGTGTCAATTGGAACGAAAGTTCTGTTCCTTTCTCCGGCCATTCCTGTGGCGAATGAATTAAACTAAACTTAAACTTAAACTTAAACGACTTTGTGAGCTCGTGGTTAATAAATCCAGCGTTCTTACGTGTATTGTGACAACTGTCTTTGCGTGGAGAGTTTTTTTGCAATCAGTTTCCCTACTCAAGGCTCTTTAAAACAAATTAGCTGTACCATTCCCCCTGTCCAAAATACCCAACCCCTGGCGTTTATATTAGGATGGGTTGTTGAATAATCTACTCAACTTTTAACCTTGATATTCTTTTTACTAAACTGGTGAACGGTGTGCAGAGGAGAAGGTGTCAGAGAGCCACAGTGGTTCCTAGGAACACTTGAAAAATCTTTCCAATGTTAAGTCGCTGTTTGTTGGCGCCTTATGCACTCTTTAAACCAATGTTGCCCACTAGACAGAGTGGGCGGCGTTTCCCTCGTAACTCGTATTGATCCCAGGGGTACCCTGCATCCCCCACAAAATTCCCGCTGATCTCTTTGAATCCCCGCTTGCCTTCCTGATCTCGAGCTTATCCTGTGGATTTTCAAGTTTCACCCATGTCCCGTAAACTACTCCCTTTATCGGTTCATTGAAGTATTCAGGGTCAATATTGACACCCAAAGTCTTATAAGTTAACAGAAAACACTGAAACCAAAATGGCGGCTCACTCGAGATTTACCAAGCTTGCTGACCGATGTATTTTTGGTCACGTTTTTGTTTGTTTTTGATAGGAGAGAAAAGCAGAGTTTGGAGCGGTATCTGAAGGAAGTGCCAACCGTCGAAGAATATCAGAAGTTAAACAAAACTATATCCTCAATGAACCATTGGAAACGTGCATATGGATTTTAGTACCTAAGTTGCTATATGCTTCGGCTTTTCCAGCAATTATTGCATGACTAGGGCTATTTGACAGGAATATTTAATTGTAAAAAATGCCACTGTAAGCCAGTTGGTTGAGCTGTTGCAATCCAAGCAAGTGGTTTGGGGGAGGGGGGGTGGGTGAGGGCTAACTTCAGACGGAGTCATAGCAAAGTGTTCTTCAGATTGCCGCTCAATCAAATTCAGGAATTAGATGCGTACCAGCTAGGACTGTTGGAAGTTCCAAACACGGTGGGGGCGGGGGGGGGGTGACCCCCTCTTTCCCCGCCCAATCCAGAGGGAGTAAAGAAATTTCGATGGAATACATTAGCAACATACAAGTGGTGGAGGGTGGGGGGGGGTTACACTAACATCTGACTGCTATTTGGGAGTAGGTCAGTTTTTTCGTTTGTTTTTGTAAGTTACAGAAGAGGAGGTCACATCTTATCGAAGACTCCACCCTCACCTTTTTTAAGTATTATGGAGTTATAGCAACTACGTTGTATTAGTTCGTCGTTATCATTGGAGTTTTTTCGTCCTTAACGTTTCTTACCTTAAAGATGTTCGTGATGAGTGTGAAAAACTGAAAGAAACTATATCCGCTAAAGACAAGAAGCTGACCCGCATAAGCAAAGCGTTTGGAAACAAGGTAAAGTTTCTAAGTTCGATTGGTAATAAAGATAGGGTGATTATACTATCTAGTGACTATACTAGTGAACAGACAATTTGGAAACCCTGAAGTTCTAAATCAGTGATCATGTTGCCCCTTTATGTCCTACATCCGAAGCGGAGGTCTTTGCATATCCTGCTTCTCGTACATCCTGCTTGTGGTGTTATCCTTCCTCTCTGCCTTCCTTCTCTACTAAAGTACAGTGTATTTTTGTTGCTATGTTAACTGGCATTCTGCCTATTTCAGGCTTCTCTCTAAGGTAAAATTTAATTTATCAATCCGGGATTTCTTTGTTTTTGCTTTGCTTCGCTCTGTGATTGGTTTAGAAATCGCGCCACCTTCTCGACCAATCAAACGCAAAGCAAAGACTTATTGCGACTGATTCCTCCTCGTTTTCCTGCTATTCGGGCACTTCACCTGGTTAAACTCTCAGTAATCAACCTTGTGATATTTTCCTGAGCTCTGATTATCTGTCGTGATTAGTACGCTTTTGGTTTTACAACACTCAATTGATTGTTCCTTTTTCGGAAATTATCGCCCACACTTCGTTCACCTTATCTTTTTTTTTTCCCCTCAGGATGACGAGGCAAAGAAGTTAACAGTGGAAAATACTACTTTGAAAGAGAACATGCAAAGGTACATACGAAGCGAATTTATTTTCTGCGCCTACATGGCTAGTTTTGGCCTTGAGTTGCTGGCTCAAGACGTGGGCACAAGTTGGGGCGCAAGTTTTATGGGTGCCCGGGTAGCTGCTCAAATTTTGAGCTCATGAGCAAGGTCTTTCCTCTCACAAAGCCTCAATCTGGTAGCTTATTGAAGGCCCTATGGGCAAGAGGCCCAAAGAAGAAGCTCCAGCCGCAGCTTAGATTTAGGCTCATTCGACTCAACCCTATTTGTTTTCAGACTTCAGGTTTCTCTCGATAAAATCAGCAACGATGGTCCCGTGTCGCTGATAAACTTTGAGGATCTCAAGATGGAGAATGAAAGGTTACAGGTGGAACTTGACCGAACGAAGAAGGTAAACTGCCAACTTTTGCCGATTACTTTTATTATTTTTTGTCTTTTTTGTTTGTAATTTTTTTTATCCAAGGTCTCTCCCGCGGGACAAGGAGTGAACCTGGCATAATGAGAAGATTGAGAACAATTTGCTTTGTTACCCCTTAAAGGTGGTAATCCTCAGAGAATTTTAAAGAAAAAATTGCTTAGAAAGGATTCATGTGGTTTAACTCTTGTTTGTGGTGTGTTTTTTTTTTTTTTTTTTTTTTTTTTTTTTTTTTTTTTTTTTTTTTTTTTTTTTTTTTTTTTTTTTTTTTTACAAATCAGGCTGTCACAGGCACACAGAAATCTGTTCCTCTCCCAGACAAATGATATGGTTCAATACTATTGAGTGAGATGGATGCACTGGTTCCTTTCAGTTTTCTTTAACTGTGACTGGCCGTATCTTCCTTAGTTCAACTTTTTACGTTTGTTTAAGGGTGTGAATCTCTTTCCGAAGATATCATGAATGATTTGTCCTTCTGCCTGCTAAATTAAAGATAATTTTTTTTAAATTCAAGTCTATACCTTTTTAGTGATAAGTTTGTGAATTTCCATAACCTCTTAGCTGGATATTGATATTGTATGGAGAATTAAGTGTCATGTATATCAATACTGGCATTGAAAGGGTTAAGAACAAGAAGTAAACGTCAGTAGGGGTAAACGTTCCTTTTTCACTCGATCAAAATAATCCGTCATTACGAAAAATTTTCTTTAAGGTGCTAGAGAACAAGCACAAGAAGATGAAGACTCTTCACTGTCAAACACAGAAGGAGCAGAAAAGCTTGGAGGAACGATTAACGCAAGAGGAGGTATGAAAAGAGCTAAGATCGCTTGCACAACTGATGTGAACCCACTCAATGGAGTGTTTCATATGAGAAACTTCGTCGCCAACTTAAATATTCATCTTGGTTTGATTCAGTGTCTTCTAAGAGTAGTTTGGTTTGAACAGAACGAAAAAAAAAAACCCCGAACACTCGCTAGTCGGCAGAGGGTTGTGTTGTGTTTAATGGAGAGCATTGCTGATGACGAACGCAAAAAATCCCTGCTCTTGTGTTGGCAGGAAATGGTCCATGCTTTGCGAGATGAACTTGTAGCGAAAGAAAATTCACTTGAAGAGGTCAGGAAAGCAGTTAAGGAGGTGAGAGCAAATGTAGTTTCCACATCGAACGCTTTTGAAGCCTGGTTTGAAATTCGCACCGACTCTCGCTCCTTGTATAGTTGTGGCTTCACTAACTCGATCTGCCATATAATTCTCGTGATTTTGGTTGGCAGAATTTGGTACTGGATCAACTTGTTTTCCCTATTTGACATTTTTCTTTATTATCATCACTTGTCTCCTTAAAAAGTAGGGTATAGTGTTAGAAGAAATTCTTTCTTGGTCACTCACTGATATCTGAGTTCGTTTTTGGTGTGGATTATCATGAACTTCATTAAGCCGGAAAAAGGCAGCAACTGCCTGGGTTTCAATTCAGCTGCGTTTACGTGTTTGTTGAGCAAAGGACAATGAAACAAAATGAGGCAATTAAGATATGGATATCTCTTTTAGAATTCACAAGGATAACTTTATCAGAAATGAAATGGCACTGGTTAGCTAGGGATGGCGGGAAGCACGGATAGGGGATGGAAATAATACTCGCCTTTGATGGTTCGCATATTTGATCGCACTGTATTAAACTGTTTTAATATCTTATTTTCAGATTGCTTCTCACAATCAGGATTTGCTGGAAGAGAACTTAAACCTTCAATGCCGTTGTGAGCAGGTAGAACATTTGTGTGATACCTGATTCTTTTGTTCCTTTTAAAGTAGTGCTTTCACTATTCCGCTTAGTACCCTCGACTTGACGCCGTCTCTACTCTTAGCGAAGTATTGATCGAATTTCGAGCACAAGTTCAAAACTCGTTCATTTTATCATTGTTAGTGGACTTCTTGGTCATCATGACGAAATATTGCACTGAGGGACCAGACACCAGACATTATTTATTCCTGGGGGAGGGGGAGAGGATTTTGGACAGATCACGTGGTTTTCAGGAGGAGGAGGGAACGGAGAAGGATCAGTCGTCGCCAACAGAGTATAGAAGGGGGGACTTTGGACAATTGACAGCCAATTGCAAGGAAGAGTGGAATCATAATAATATTGCGGAGCCTACGGGGGGGGGGAAATTAGGTAAATTTTATCGTGAAACAGCCATGATAATATGTTCTGAATTTGTATATTTTCTTTTACAGTTACAAAAGCTGAATTCGAAAGAAAAATTGGAATCTCAGAGAAAACTCTGGAAAGAGGTATGATAATATGAAATGAAGGTTGCGTCACGTTGTCACGTAAGCTATGGAAGGTCACGCTTTCTACAAAGAATGTCACCGCAGTGGCAGAAATATCGGGAGGTGATAAATTGGGAAAAATTAGTTGAAATGTTTCAGAATTGTGTAGTTGTAGCTGTAAAGGTACTCTAAACTTTATCCTGTTCATGGTACGAAGATGGCGTTTCAATTGATTTTTTACATAGAGATAGTTACGGTAACTTCGTTTAAAACAAAATTTTTTCTTATCTACTACTGTAGCTCTCTGAATGTACAGGGGAACTCAAGGCTGTTGTGCAAGTTTGTCGGGAAAGAAGAGAAGGAAAAGATCCTGATATGTCTGTTTTGCTTGGGCTCAGATGTGAGTTGGCATTTAAACGTTCTTCTTTAATCAATTTGTTTTTCAATTTGTTATTTGACGTTGTGAGGAAGACCCGATGGCTCGATGGTTAGTGGAATGAACTCTGGGACAATAAGCCCGGAATTAAACCCTAATCGGGTTATTGACTTGAAATTATGCTCAAAACAGACAACTTAAACTCTCTTTCCACTTGGGGGTGTACATGGGTACGGGCTCACTGTCAAGGAAAGTTAAAAAATTATTTGAGTGTGTAGGGGTAAGGATTTAGCTGCAATGGATTTACCATCCGGTTATTGGGGAATATCAAGCAATATTCCATGTCGCTTTGAGCTCCGGCATTATGAGTCATCATGGTTTGTGTCCAAACTTTTCAAAGAAAAATCGTTCAGGGCAAGGGCGTCGGGCTTGGTATTTTGGGTCTACACAGACACTCGTTCCCTGTTTTTTTATCCGTATAGTAAGTGGTTAGTAAAGGACTGGGTCTTAGTGCATTTTGAAAAGTCAGTCTTCAATTGTTCAAGTTTGTCGCTTACTATCCTTGTCGTTATTTTGTTTCTTTCTACGCCGTAAACAAGCAAGTACTGGTTTCTTTAAACTCACGGTGATGCTTCGCACAGCTTGGGTAATTATTCGAGAGATGCCTGAAATTTGTAAGAGAAACTGTTGAGTTTGGGGCATGAGAGTGAAGAAACGTCTAAAAAAACTAAGTAGCACACCCATGGCTCACTTACTTTCTTTCATTGCTCTCCAGCAACTTCTATCGATGAAGACGAAAGTGAAAGCAAAGACACGTCCGATGACGTCGATACCGTAAAATCGAAAATAGACAAAGTTCAACAGCTACGGTCAGATGTAGAAGGCTTACGGAAGTTTATCTCCGATCAATATGCTGAGGACATTGGAAATAACTGCAGGATGCATTGATGAAAAGAAGTGTTTGAAATGTGCTTCCACTTGCAGAGGGTCAAGCTTAGTGTTCATCGCCCTAATTTAGCTGTGGCAGAAAACGAGTGGACCATGCAACCTGACAAGGAAGGGGGGAATATTACGAGTTGTCCATGCAACTTGACAGGGGAGGAGTGACGTAATACGAGTGGTCTGGGCAACTTCATCGGGGAGGGGCGAGACTCAATAATGAATATGACTGGAGTAAACCTATGCACCATGAAGGGTTTCAAATTATTATTAATTTAAAGACGCTGAAATTTAAACTTATTGTGTAGCTGCATTGGTGTGAATTAATCCAAAAATAATCTCCTGTAAAGTCGCTCTTTGGAATGTAGTGCAACTTTTGGACAGCAAAGAGATTTGAAGAGTCTTACGATGCGCCATTTTCTAGAGGTGAAAAAATCTCTACCATAGCTATGAATGGAAATTGTTTTGAAATTTCTGACGATCATCCCCGTTGATGTTTTTCAGAATGAGTGACCCCTCTCCGAAACATACAAAGCCAGGAAAACGGCGTTGTAAACAACTGTAATTACAATCCACTGTATTAAAGATTCTCCCTCGTTTTTTTTTTCCATTCAAGTTCGTGTGATAGTTCTTCCGTTCGTTTTGTTCTTGAACCGAGGCATGACAGCTATTAGTTTATAATTTATTGACAGAAGAGTTGAGTAATGCAGTCAAATAAAAATAATTTAGTCAAAGTTATCACATGTGTTGTATCATACGTAAAGGGTGTAAAGAAATGAATTGAATGAAAGAGAATTATAGCATTATTAAACCTTTCTTTTTGTGAGATAGTGGTCACTCGCGATATGATTACTACAATTTAGTTGCCTGCTCGCGAGAGGTGGGTTGTTTTCGTTCATTCTGTGTGGGGGAAGTTTTGGCCATTGCGTGTTACGTGTCACTTGTTTAATGCGTGTTACGCGTGATCTGGCTAGAGTGTGTCACGCGTGATCTGGTCAGTGCGAGTCACGCGTGATTTAGCTAGAGCGTGTCACACGTAATTTGACCAGTGCGTATCTCGCGTGATTTGGCTGGTACGTGGCAAGAGGTTGTAAGCAAAACGGGATTACAACTCCTGCGCTTTGATCCCTTAAACTATTTCTCACAAGGCAATGATTAATTTATTGTTTTTTTGGGTTCTTGTGCAAATTAAAACCTAAGTAATAGTAATTTTTTTCAATGTAAGGAGACTAAATTGTGATAAAATTAATAAGTCATCAAGTTGAAAACTGTATGGTGTGTCTCATCTATGGCAGCGTGGAAAGTATCAAGAAACGGTATTGTGTTGTCAGTTGAAATTTCTGCCATAGGGGTAATCACAATTTACCACAGTTATACTGATGGAACATGGGTAAATGATAGGTTGGCCTAATAAACTAACGACGGAAGGAACAAACAAATGCAAGGAGTGAGCGAGTGAATTTATGAATGATGGATTGTATGGAATGAATAAAGGAAAGAAGAAAGAAAGAAAAGGAGAAATGAGTGAAAAGTATTGATGGTATCGTTTGCACAGCAGTCTTTTTATTTTCCTTTATATGTAAAAGAGAGACATGATAACTGAACAGGACTCCTTCCTATGGAGGCCCGTCCCCTCCCCACCCGTCCCTTTTGCACTTTGGTGTCATGCCACTCTTACTCTTTATCACTTTTCTCCTTCTTGGAGAAAAGGTAATGGAATGCATACCATCAGGCTTCCCTGACAATTTGCTAGTACCGAGTTTACACTCCTGGCTGGACAGAGACACTATGGGAGTGAAGTGTTTTGCCCAAGAACTCCTTGTGGCTTCATACTACATAGGAATCAGCATAAGCTCTGCCTGGGTGGGCTAACAGACGTGAGTACAGACTTTATCTTTTACCTTCATGAAGTTTTAAGTAGTTTCCATGAGTACAGAGTAAGGGTGACTCCCATCTAATAATTGTCTCCTTACACTTTCTTCTCCGAATCAGACATTAAGGTTAGGGGAATAAAGGAAATGGTCACTAAGTAAAAAAGGTTTTGATTATTTTACAAACTCTCCACTTTATTCTTCACTTTGTGATATAAACTGACAAGGTGTGATCTTCCTGACTTCAATTCCTTTAAAGCACTTTGTATATAGCCAACTGGTCTGGCTCTTGCCAGTTGGGATTAAAAAAAGACACTGCATTTATTCATATAGATTCCAATTTGTTCATATTCACCCTGAAAAGCCCTCAATGGGAGAGTGTTCACATACACACATCAACAGCAATTTACTCTAGTCTTCTCGGATAGGGACGATAAATGGAGGTCCCGTCTCCTGCAGGGTTGGGGTAGGAGACGTTAATTTCCCACACACGAGATTACTGTGTGATGGATGTCCTCCCCGGGGTGGGATGGGTGGGTAAAAAAGGGGTCAGGTGTCAA